CTGCTCAGAGTTACTTATTGCTCATAGTTACTTAATGCTCATAGTTACTTAGTGCTCATAGTTAATTGCTGATCATAGCTACTTACTGGGCATAGTTACTCACTGATCCAAAATCACATTTCGCACATATGCCTATGATTCCCAACTGGTTCAAACATCCCCGGAACGAAGTGACTTCCGCCGGCCAAGTCGCAGAAATGTGTTGTGTTACAAAAGTTGCAAGTCATTGCTTATTAGTGTTTAAATTTTGAAACAGATCATTGATATTTACTGGTCATTGATGCTTATTGGTCATAGATACTTACTGGTCATAGATAATTAGTGGTCATAGATACTTACTGCTCAGAGTTACTTATTGCTCATAGTTACTTAATGCTCATAGTTACTTAGTGCTCATAGTTAATTGCTGATCATAGCTACTTACTGGGCATAGTTACTCACTGATCCAAAATCACATTTCGCACATATGCCTATGATTCCCAACTGGTTCAAACATCCCCGGAACGAAGTGACTTCCGCCGGCCAAGTCGCAGAAATGTGTTGTGTTACAAAAGTTGCAAGTCATTGTTTATTAGTGTTTAAATTTTGAAACAGATCATTGATATTTACTGGTCATTGATGCTTATTGGTCATAGATACTTACTGGTCTTAGATAATTAGTGGTCATAGATACTTACTGCTCAGAGTTACTTATTGCTCAGAGTTACTTATTGCTCATAGTTACTTAATGCTCATAGTTACTTAGTGCTCATAGTTAATTGCTGATCATAGCTACTTACTGGGCATAGTTACTCACTGATCCAAAATCACATTTCGCACATATGCCTATGATTCCCAACTGGTTCAAACATCCCCGGAACGAAGTGACTTCCGCCGGCCAAGTCGCAGAAATGTGTTGTGTTACAAAAGTTGCAAGTCATTGTTTATTAGTGTTTAAATTTTGAAACAGATCATTGATATTTACTGGTCATTGATGCTTATTGGTCATAGATACTTACTGGTCTTAGATAATTAGTGGTCATAGATACTTACTGCTCAGAGTTACTTATTGCTCATAGTTACTTAATGCTCATAGTTACTTAGTGCTCATAGTTAATTGCTGATCATAGCTACTTACTGGGCATTGTTACTCACTGATCCAAAATCACATCTCGCACATTGGCCTATGATTCCCAACTAGTTCAAACATCCCCGGAACGAAGTGACTTCCGCCGGCCAAGTCACAGAAATGTGTTGTGTTACAAAAGTTGCAAGTCATTATTTATTAGTGTTTAAATTTCGAAACAGATCATTGATATTTACTGGTCATTGATGCTTATTGGTCATAGATACTTACTGGTCTTAGATAATTAGTGGTCATAGATACTTACTGCTCAGAGTTACTTATTGCTCAGAGTTACTTATTGCTCATAGTTACTTAATGCTCATAGTTACTTAGTGCTCATAGTTAATTGCTGATCATAGCTACTTACTGGGCATAGTTACTCACTGATCCAAAATCACATTTCGCACATATGCCTATGATTCCCAACTGGTTCAAACATCCCCGGAACGAAGTGACTTCCGCCGGCCAAGTCGCAGAAATGTGTTGTGTTACAAAAGTTGCAAGTCATTGTTTATTAGTGTTTACATTTTAAAACAGATCATTGATATTTACTGGTCATTGATGCTTATTGGTCATAGATACTTACTGGTCATAGATAATTAGTGGTCATAGATACTTACTGCTCAGAGTTACTTATTGCTCATAGTTACTTAATGCTCATAGTTACTTAGTGCTCATAGTTAATTGCTGATCATAGCTACTTACTGGGCATAGTTACTCACTGATCCAAAATCACATTTCGCACATATGCCTATGATTCCCAACTGGTTCAAACATCCCCGGAACGAAGTGACTTCCGCCGGCCAAGTCGCAGAAATGTGTTGTGTTACAAAAGTTGCAAGTCATTGTTTATTAGTGTTTACATTTTGAAACAGATCATTGATATTTACTGGTCATTGATGCTTATTGGTCATAGATACTTACTGGTCTTAGATAATTAGTGGTCATAGATACTTACTGCTCAGAGTTACTTATTGCTCAGAGTTACTTATTGCTCATAGTTACTTAATGCTCATAGTTACTTAGTGCTCATAGTTAATTGCTGATCATAGCTACTTACTGGGCATAGTTACTCACTGATCCAAAATCACATTTCGCACATATGCCTATGATTCCCAACTGGTTCAAACATCCCCGGAACGAAGTGACTTCCGCCGGCCAAGTCGCAGAAATGTGTTGTGTTACAAAAGTTGCAAGTCATTGTTTATTAGTGTTTACATTTTGAAACAGATCATTGATATTTACTGGTCATTGATGCTTATTGGTCATAGATACTTACTGGTCTTAGATAATTAGTGGTCATAGATACTTACTGCTCAGAGTTACTTATTGCTCATAGTTACTTAATGCTCATAGTTACTTAGTGCTCATAGTTAATTGCTGATCATAGCTACTTACTGGGCATTGTTACTCACTGATCCAAAATCACATCTCGCACATTGGCCTATGATTCCCAACTAGTTCAAACATCCCCGGAACGAAGTGACTTCCGCCGGCCAAGTCACAGAAATGTGTTGTGTTACAAAAGTTGCAAGTCATTGTTTATTAGTGTTCAAAGTTTAAATCAGATCATAGATATTCACTGGTCATTGATACTTAATGGTCATATATACTTAGTGGCCATAGATAATTAGTGGTCATAGATACTTACTGCTCATGGTTACTTAATGGTCACAGTTACTTAGTGCTCATAGTTAATTGCCGATCATAGTTACTTACTGGGCATAATTACTCACTGATCCAAAATCACATTTCGCACATATGTACCTATGATTCCCAATTGGTTCAAACATCCCCGTAACGAAGTGACTTCTCCCGGCCAAGTCTCAGAAATGTGTTGTTACAAAAGTTGCAAGTCATTGTTTATTAGTGTTTAAATTTTGAAACAGATCATTTATATTTACTGGTCATAGATACTTACTAAGAATAGTTGCTTACTGATCATAGATACTTTCTGTTATTTTTTAATCCATATAATTACTTAGTGCTCATAGTTAATTGCTGATCATAGATACTTACAGGGCATAGTTACTCACTGATCCAAAATCACATCTCGCACATATGTGCCTATGATTCCCAACTGGTTCAAACATCCCCGGAACGAAGTGACTTCTCAGTCTCAGAAATGTGTTGTTATAAAAGTTGCAAGTCATTGTTTATTAGTGTTCAAAGTTTGAAACAGATCATAGAAACATACTGGTCATAGATACTTACTGAAAATAGTTGCTTACTGGTCATAGATACTTACATTACTTAAAATTAGCTGAAATTAAATAATAGTAAGCTACAAGAAATATGTGTCGAAAATACAATTTAATTTCACTCAGAACATGTGTATTTTTCAAGTGTGTTAACCTATCCGACGGGCACTTCTTACTTAAAAGTTGACTGAAAACAATTGGGAAAGTCACTTCCTCTTGCCGCCATCATGTGCAACTAATTAAAATACATATTCAGTAATCAATCCTCCGCCGACCTTCAGTAGTGCCAGCGGAAAATGAATAAAAAGCGTAAAAATATAAATTTAAAAACAAAAATATACAATCTCATGGCCCTTGGGCTGGCAGTTCTGCCTTTAAGTCCATTAAAAATCATTTCGATCAATGGGAGCTGTGGCAGGCCGAGCGCACATTGCGATTTTCTCACAATTAGCATTTTTACCCACTTGCCCCCAGCCTCTCTCACTCTCTCTCTTCCTCACCTGCCCGCTCACACACCTGTCGAAGCGGGAGGGAGAAGCTGAAGCGAGAAAGCAAGCTCGGTTTGGGGGAAGCGATTGAAACATTTTTAAAAATTTGAAATTCATATGCGCAGCAAACGTGAAATGTTTTGCCAAGCGTATTGTGCAATAAAAAATAAAGAGGCAACCCAAAAAAAAAACAAAACAAATGCGAGGCAAGCTGAAGGAATTCTTGTATAAATAAAACTGGGAACCAGAATCGAGAGTTGGGGGTCAGGAAATATATATACATATATATATATGTATAGTATTTGCTGGTATATGTGTATGAAAACACCTAAAAGGATTCAATTATTCCCGCTCGTTACACAACAACAAAAAAAGAATAACACGCCGTGGAAAAAATTGCGCGCCCATGTTAGTATGCAACAGAAATTGCTCACGGCATGTAAAGTGCTCGGGAGCTGCGGGTGTGTGAGTGTGTGTGTAGGGGGAGTGGAGGGCAGGGGGTCATGCAGCATATGCACGCGCATAAATCGACGACAGATACGGGAGCTCCGATGGCGGCGGCAATAAAAGCAAGAGCCATGTAAAAAGGACACTCATATTTATATGCATTGATTGCCAAAGCAATGCAATACAAACACACACGCATGCAATAACACACACACACTCGTGTGCGGACTCACACAAACGACCCAGAACATTGATTGTAAAATAATATTTCTGTGCCGTGCCGAAAAGAGAGGGAAAAAGAATCTGTGAAAGCGGGAGGTAAGAGTTTCGCGAAATTTCATAGCATACAAACGGGCGCTGTCATGAAATATCACGCATACGTCATGTGAACTGGACAGTGCATACACACACACACACACACACACACACTTATGCAAATGCGCTCATTGCGACCGCCGCATATTTGCATACATCAACTGGCATCCATTATGCACTTAAATCATTATTGAAACGGCATTAAAGTGGCGGTTCCCCTTTCGAAATTTCCCGGAAATCATTTTCAACGAACTTCAGAATCCAATCCAATCGAAGGAAAACTACCAGGACTCAAGGGAATATTGTCACAAATCTGAATATGATTTTATTACTATACAAAAATACAAATATTTACTTATATCATTAAAACATCAACGTGAGATAAATCAATTTCAAATGAAACATATAAACACCCATTTAAGTTCAGTTTTCTCTAACTTACAGTTCTGGGAAATCATCTCCGATGAGCATGGAATCGATCCCAATGGTTACTATCATGGGGAGTCGGATCTGCAGCATGAAAGGATCGACGTTTACTATAATGAAGCCAGTAGTGGCAAGTATGTGCCCCGAGCGGTGCTCATCGACCTGGAGCCGGGCACCATGGACTCTGTCCGTCAGTCGCCAATGGGACAGCTTTTCCGACCGGATAACTTTGTGTTCGGGCAGTCTGGAGCTGGTGAGTAGAGTTTTCTTTAAAATTTAATAATTGTAGATTAGAAAATAATATTGTGAAAGGCCTTAAAATAATTATATAGAAGATTCTCTGTCCTTCACTTTCAAGAAGTTCCTTAAACAAAATAAGTTGACAAAGAACATAAAACCTAACATAAATTCAATAACTGAAAAAAGCGTAATCCACTATCCCCAAGTCTCTGTGACAACAAAGAAGAGTTTCAAAAATTGGTTTCACAAGCGCGAAGAATGCATGAGTCTATTCAGTTTCCACTTTTTTCGCTTTGCTAATGCATTTCCGTCGCACTCCATAATGGGTGCATGTCGTGTTCGTCCTCTGGTACGTGGCTTTTGTTTCCCAGTTGCCTTTCGGGATAATATGCTTTTGTTTTGGTACCCACATCGACGATGGTGGGTTGTCAATGCCGCTGCGTTACCAGTTATTGCAGCTGCCTCTCTGGGTTGCAACTACTAAAGCAGGAGCACCGGAAATTGGTGGCACAGAGGAGGAGGGGCTTTGTCCATGCTTTGATAAGTGCCAAGAGCATGGCCAACACTGTTATCACAGGCGAACTTATCAGCCAAATGCCGCTGCGATGCATCGGCCTTGTTGTTGTTATAGCTGCTGCAACAGCCGAGGGCTGCGTTGGCCCACTACTAACCTGGCTGATCACTTCTCCTTCTCCCAGCCACCCAACCACCCAGCGCAGCTAATGATGCTGATGGTGAGGATGATTGTAATTATAGAATGGCCTGCGGATGACGATGAAAATTAATTTTGTACATGTCAGTCGCTGTGGATAATGTTGCTCCGTCCGCTGTTTGCTGCAATGACCCATTAATGCGTTGAACTTTGATTTGCATTGCTCAAGACCAGAAGTCAAACCTTACGGCAGCGTATAATTTAAGCTGATTTCAATAAGGAGCATTTAAAACGAAAATCAAGTTCTTTGTTTTATTTATTTCTACTTATTTTCCGCAGGCAACAACTGGGCCAAGGGCCACTACACAGAGGGTGCCGAGCTGATCGATTCCGTGCTGGAGGTCATTCGCAAGGAATCCGAGGGCTGTGACTGCCTGCAAGGCTTCCAGCTGGCCCACTCGCTGGGCGGTGGCACCGGCTCCGGCCTGGGCACTTTGCTCATCTCGAAGATCCGTGAGGAGTATCCGGACCGCATCATGAACTCATTCTCCGTGGTGCCCTCGCCCAAGGTAAGTACGCAACGCTTAATGCTACCGCTTCCTGCTATCATCTCATGTCATCAGCACTGCTCCGCTCACCTGTCGCCGATCCTCGTCATTGTGTGGCTGTGACCAATGCAATCCGCTTAGCGAAATCAGCTTACTGTCCCCCCCCCCTCCAGGCACAGTGGGCCACAAATCAGAGGCACATCTCGGCCATTCCACGGTGCCAGTAAGCCGACCCGCAGACCCAAAAGCGCTTTACACCTGCACGCGTTTTTGCCAAATTAGCAGGCACAAGCCGCAGAGTGCAGCGCGAATGCCACAAATGTTGTTTTATTTATGCAATTCATACGCTAAATTCAATTGCCGGCTTTGTGCGCTGCCTGGGCCGGGCTTTGTCCGAATAATTCTAATTAATTTGCAGGCGAAATTAGCAGCGCCACCATCGAGTGGCCGTGGGCCAAAGCCTAATTGCCAGTGCAATTTTAATGCAATTTAGTGGCACTCGCACTCGCATGACCCCTCATCTGCCAAGGCACAAAGCGACAGTAACATTTTTTCTTTTTCGCGATGCCATTGCCTTGCAGCATTTTTGACACGCCTCAATTGCCGCTTAATTAATCCAGTTGCATATATTACACATGAGTTCAGGTAGATTGAGGTAGAACTATTCATAGATATTGGTAAATGAGAGCGGCACGTGTTACGCCTTCATTTGCATTATTCGTATTTAATTACATTTTGACGTTTAATTTAATTAATGCAGCTTGACATTAATTGACATTGGCTGGGGATGTTGTAGGAAAAAAAGGATATTCCCAATAGCATGTTATATTTATACAAAGAAAGATAAACAAATAGAACTTTAATTCACTAAAGGAACAAGCTCAAGTTTAGAGAGTTTTAATTATTGCAAGAATAAATAATGATTTAATTTTAGCAAATACAATTTACAGGAAACTACATAAAAAATATGTCTATTTTTTACAGGAAACAATATATAAAATCTGAAACAATTATCCAAGGACATATGTCCAATAATTTATGGACAAGAGTTCTTAATATTTTCTTTTGAACTTTATGTTTAATTTGAGTTGTTCCCTAATGCCTTCTGGGAGTAGGAGAAAGTCCTTGAGGCGTGAAATTAACATTTGACAATGTTCTTATTGGCATATCGGAGAACACAATAAATTTTATGGAATTTTTAGTTGAGCACACTTGCACACACACAAGAGGCTTACACTTTGCACTTGTACGGCGTTAAATTTATTACAGTCACGGCTGAACGCCAATGGTAAACTATTGAACCAGTCCAAAGTCCGACCCCTATCCGGGGTTTAACTTTAAATGCCCCAATATATTCCCCCACACATACATACATATGTATACATATATCCTGCTGCTTTTTTCGGGGGGGGGTCGTTATTTATGGGTTGTTCTGGGTTTGCCTGGCTCACCGCAATGTTTTGGCTTCGGCGGTCATTTTATTGCGGCCTGGCCTGACACATGCCTGTCACGTTATAGCGGTTTTAATATGTACGCGAATATATATAATTTAATAGTTTTTCATGCCCATCAGTTTGGAGCCGTGTAAAGCCTTTGTCGCCGACGCGCTTTGATAAGCGCCATTTATGCAAATGCAGTGCGCATTCACCGAGAATAATTAGGGATGCTGGCATTAAAAAAAAGCACAGCATATCCCCGAGATATATTTTTTTAGCGATTGATTAAAGTTTTTAATTACGTTCATTAATTAACAAACGTCACTCGCAGGGAGGACTCCTCCTCCTTCTCCTCCTCCTCCTCCGCTGCTCCTCATTTCGAGGCAACATGAATCACTGTGTCCAGTTCCAGTTCGTTTGCCAGAGAGCCTCCGAGATTTGCACCTGCCTGTTGGACACGGCAATGATATCAGAATGCATGCTCGTAAATCCTCCAGATTCAAGGATTCAGACCACACACACACACACAAGCAGAGGAGAGCTGGCAAATATTGCGTCCGGGCGGTGTTCAAATAGGAAGCCGGCAACAAATACCAAATACAAAATGCAAAATGCATATGCCCGAGCATAACTCATTAGTATTAACTGCATGTACCACCTAGGCAGACATATATATATAGGTGTGCCTGTGTGTTCTCTGGGGTGTGAGTGTGTGGGAATGTGCACAGGGAGAAATAAATGTAAGCTAGTTTATTTAACAAAATGACAAGTGGTAGAGAAGGCGAAGTATTTATACATTTTATAGAGAAGTGCTACTTTTGATATGAAAATTGTTTGATAAATCAATATTTAAGAAACCAATAACTCAGTCAAAAATTAATGAATTTAATTTTGGAAAGCTTTCCTATTTTAGTTTTTGAAGGTTAATAAATCTGCATACTTACTTTAGCAATTAAATAAAATTCTTTTTTTGCAATTTTTGAATATTTTAACGATGTAACCCCTTATCAAAATTTGAAATTTTGAAAAAATTCTAATAACGTATTTTTTGACCAGACATAGCTAGATCAATTCGGCTGTTAATGCTGATCAAGAAAATATGTTTATAACATATAGGGTCGGAAATGATTCCTTTACTTTATGTAAGCTTCTGACTGAAACTATAATACCCTACAAATATAGCTTATTTAGTTCTAATTTTAAAGACTGCCTTTGTAGACATTAAAATTAATATTTAAAAATGGTAAAGGAGCTAAGATTTCTCCAAGTGCAACAGTTGCATTAAAAGTGTGTGCTTGGGGGGGGACTGCACGTTATCGCTCTAGGGCTGTGGCCATTAAATAATTGCCACAATTTATGTGCACACACTTGGCATACGGCAAACCGAAGCTCGAGTGAAGTTTGTCGCATGCTTAACCAGCCACGCCCCCCTTTTGTTTACCCCAAAAACCAGCCTCCTGCATTCTCCATTCTCCATTCTCAAGCCTGAAGCTTGCATATCGCATCTCTCAAACCCTATCCTCACCTGCCTCCGACAACCGACGAGCAATGCATCTTGGTTGCGCAAATATAGAGGGCAAGCCAAAGATTATACATAATTTTCAATTTGCAGCATTCGAAACACACACACACACCACACCCTCCTCCGTATGCCTGGTCAGAGGTGTACGGATATTGGGGTATAGAATGCAACCCAGATGTTTGTGCAACATGCAACTGCATTTATGCAACAACTCTCGGCCTGAGTGCCGCTCCAGGCTCAAAATAGCATTAGCAACTGCAGCAACAACCACTGCAAACATCGTATTAATAGGGTCTGCTATTCAGTTAGCACTGCATTCGAATTGCATCCTGTTGGCAGAATGCATTTTTCATGTCCAAAAAAGAAATGGCCATTGAGTGAGAGCACTCCTAGCTTCTAGGCCTATTGAAATCCTAGGGGCACAGGCCAGCTTTAAAAGGATTACAGTATTGGGATTTATTGAAAATGAAAGTCATTAAGGCTTTTATATTTGCTATAGAACTAACTATTTATAGTAAACTAATCCTCGCACATATCACCTCATCTTTAGTATTGAATCTTGCATTCCTTTGCCTCTGCTGATAGCATTGCTAATTAACGAACTTGTTTCTGCTCTTCCTCCGCGTCGTCATTGTGCATGTCGCGCTTTCATCCGTAAATACATCCAGGTGTCCGACACCGTTGTGGAGCCGTACAATGCCACGCTCTCCATCCACCAGCTGGTGGAGAACACCGACGAGACCTTCTGCATTGACAACGAGGCTCTTTATGACATCTGCTTCCGCACGCTGAAGCTATCGTCGCCCACCTATGGCGATCTTAACCATCTGGTTTCCGTAAGTACCACCTAGTCAATCCATCTAATGCATCCTTTGTTTGTCCCTCCTTTCTCTACCCCCCCTCCCCAACTACCACCCCAAAAACCCCCTACATTCCTGGCATACAAAAACCCGGATATGAGCAGGTGTCCGAGGTGGTAGTGGAGCCATACAATGCCACGTTGTCAGTGCATCAACTCATTGTGGACACCGATGAAACATTCTGCATCGACAATGAGGCATTATATGACATTTGCTATCAGAGCCTGCGCCTGTGCTCGCCCACCTACGAGGATCTCAATCATCTAGTGTCCGTAAGTAGACGTGTGGATTTAGAGCCGAAGGATGTCTGCCTCCGAGAACTGCCTAAAGTGAATCCCCAAATAATTGTGAAATTCGCTAAAATAATTATTAATATATAAAATTAATGTTTATAATGTTAATGACACATCCATATCCCCAACCAGGTCACAATGTCCGGTGTGACAACCTGCCTGCGCTTCCCTGGCCAGCTGAATGCTGATCTTCGCAAGCTGGCCGTGAATATGGTGCCCTTCCCGCGCCTCCATTTCTTCATGCCCGGATTCGCTCCCCTGACAGCCAAGGGTTGCCAGCAGTATCGAGCTCTGACCGTGGCCGAGCTGACCCAGCAAATGTTTGATGCCAAGAACATGATGACCGCCTGTGATCCCCGGCATGGACGTTACCTTACGGTGGCCTGCATCTTCCGGGGTAAGTGACAAGGCGAGATATTCGCCACCAGGGTTGAGGGTGGAAAAAGAAAAATAGTTTTTTAACAACAAACCCTAAACACACATCCACACGCGTAGCCAAAACACAGGAATCCATTCATCTATCCGCTCATTTATTCAGGAACCCAGAGCCGGCTTATCCGCGCCAACTTTGTCACTTTGTCACGGGCACCTGGCGGCGCACCTGTCCGCCGTTTTTCCGGACCCGCAGGCACGTAGCCACTTAATCAGGAGCGTTGCAAAGGGGGTGGTGTTTTGGATTTGAAGTTTGTATCAAAAATTACTAACAATTGGAATATTTTTTTTAAGATCTTTTGGGAATAGTTTCTGTGGTATCTAAAAAATGTCGGAAATAATTCCTTCACTGCTTTGCAGGCTTCTGACATTAGAAAACTTTTATAAAAATTAAGTCAGCTTTCTTTTAGTACGCTAAGCGAAAGAAATTAATTATTTAGCATATTTCTATGCACAATTTACAAGGATTTTAAGCCCCAGATACTATAAAGGATAATTCTGATCTATCTGTAGCTTTAAATCACCCCCACAACAGACCAATTTCCTAGCTACGCCCCTGACCAACACCTTGGACTCTCCAGGGGGCTTGGCTTTGGCGACGATTTTATTAGCCAAAGCCGAGCCACTGGGCCTACTTATGGGCCCCACTAAAAATGATTAATGCCGGCTGGCTGGCGGCTAAAAAGGCTGCAATCCGTCAACGCGCACGTAGCGCAAATTTGTTAGCCTCTCCCTCCCCTTTCCCCTTATCCGGTGCTGCAGGGAAGTTTGAGTCCTTCGCTCCACTTATCCCAAAAAGGTTGCTCGCATTTTTTCGCGCTAATTTTTAAATTAATAAACTGCGATGCGGCGCCCAAAAGTATGCCGCATAATATTTCATTTGCTATTCCTTATGTGCCGCCGCCACCGCCTCCTGCCGTTCGCCGTTCGTCGTTCGCCGTGCCCTTGCTTTTGACTGATGACTCGCAAAACGCGCGTAATTAGAAATTTACTTTCAAGATCCATTGGGGAATTGCGACCGCCGCCTGACACGGCCCCTGGCTTAACTAATCATGCCGAACGTGACTTGGGCTGCACTGCTCCACTCCAGCTCCCAGTTCCCAGTTCCCGGCTCCCCAGCCTCCCTCTCGCAGGATCTCTATATAGCCTCTATATAGCCACCTTCGTCTCCGACTGACTGCCAGAAATACTTGCAAAATAATTAATCACAAAAATGTGCTGGAAACGAAGGGAAAAAATGCCAGCGGAGGAATTTAAACAACTTTTTTAGTTACCTCCTGGGACTGTTTGTGTCCGCATCCCATTTCCCACACCGGGAACAGGAGTACGCAGCCCAGGTGGCAAGGTGCGCTGCCAGGACTTAGAAGCCGTTTAGTATTTCATATTCAGGGATTTGGGGATTCGCTTGGCGCATCAAAGCGAACTTGGCTTTTGATGTAAATACGCAGGAAGTTTCTGCCGCGCGCCCAAAGGCATCTGTTTTTTTTTCACGCTCACTCAATAATTAACAGGTCCCATGTCCATGAAGGAGGTGGACACCCAGATGCTCAACGTGCAGAGCAAGAACAGCAGCTACTTTGTCGAGTGGATACCCAACAACGTGAAGGTGGCCGTCTGTGACATCCCGCCCCGTGGCCTGAAGATGTCCGCAACATTCATTGGCAATTCGACTGCAATTCAGGAGATCTTCAAGCGCATCTCCGAACAGTTTACCGCCATGTTCCGGCGCAAGGCCTTCCTCCATTGGTTCACCGGCGAGGGCATGGACGAGATGGAGTTCACCGAGGCCGAGAGCAACATGAACGATCTGATATCCGAGTACCAGCAGTACCAGGTCCGTCTACAGCTTCAGTTAACACTAGAATGCATAATACATTTCCTCTGTTTAGGAGGCAACGGCTGACGAAGAAGTGGAGTTCGATGAAGAGCAGGGCGAGCAAGACGGCTACGAGTCGGAGGTCCTGCAGAACGGCAATGTTGAGTAAGGACCTGGAGCCCAACACAATTGTTGCTGTTTTCTGTATACTATTTTGTAAATTTTTGGCCTACGGCAGGCTTTACAGAAATATTTAGTAAATATAGATATTAAATGAGTAAATGACGACTTCCCTTAGAGTTCGCACGTTGTATTCCGAAATATGTCTAAAAGTTGATTTGTTTTTATTGTATAATTGGCGTCTACAGGGGGTAGTTGACCAGCACATCCTGCCGGGCCAATTCCAGCAACATAGGATCGTCGAAGAACTTGTTAATGGACACATCCTCGGAGAGGCCCTTCCTGCGACGCGTCTTGATCATAAACTCGCGTGCCAAGTGAGAGGCCTGCTGCGGCTCCAATGGTCGGATGATGATGCTCTTGTCCAGCGGATCGCCGGGCACAATTTGCCAGTGATGGAACACCGAGAGACAGAAGGCCTGACCCTGGGTATGCGTGCGCAGGTCAGTTTCAAAACCAAACGAATCGATGGCGGGTATAAATGCTTTGATCGTATATATGGGGGAACCAGAAACAGGAGCATCCTGCGTAACATGACCTCTGGAAAGGGGATAATACATATTTTAAACTAATGACACATGGTTTAACTAGGAGTACAACTTACCTGCGCCTGGCCAACACCGTGTAAACAGCAGACACACAGTCTGCGGGCGCCTGCACCTCCACAAACAGATAGGGTTCCATTAGACGCGGCGTAGCCATCAGGAATGCGGAGTAGGCTACACGACGAGCAGTGGGAATAATCTGGCCGCCACCACGATGCAGGGCCTCGTTGGCAATGACGCCGTCAAGAATCTTGAATTTGACATTCCTAATAGGCTCCTCGCACAGCGGGCCTTCTCTCGTACCCCACTGGAAGCCCTGGACAATTGAATCCTTCACCGCCGTCAGCAGGTTCTTGTCCACCTCCGATGGCAGTGTGTCGTCGACGAGAATATTTGGACCCGTTGAGTCCGGCCCAAATGCCCAGATGGAACGCGCTGCCAGCAAATCCCAATCGTAGTTCACCTGGAAGAACTCACCGATACGTTTCTTGTTCCAATTTATGCAGACAGTTCCGTTTTCAATGTCCTCGGCGAGACCTTTTTCCAGCGGCTCCGAAATCATGGTTATTTTGTTCTTCTTGTTCGGTGTTTCGGCAAAACATTTTAGGGAACTCGTTTCCACAACGGTTTCGCAGAAGGCCACCACAGGATCTGCCACTTTGATATCGATTTCCGAATACATTTTTCGCAGGTCGTGCATTACACAGTCCAAGTACAGCTCGCCGGTTCCCAGGATTACATGCTCACCCGACTCCTCAACACGCGTCGAGAGGAGGGGATAGGATTTGTTGACTTTCCGCAGACCATCCAGCATCTTGGGCAACTCAGAGGGATTTACCGGCTCCACGGCAATCTTGATAATGCTCTGCGTATTAAATTTAAGCGGTCGGAAGATGTAAAGATCTTCTGGGACATTAATATCCACAATTGTTGACGTTTTCACAATGCATTGATCGATGCCTTCGATGAGGACCCAATTTCCGGCTGGGACTCGGTTCAGTTCCACTTTATAGCGCGACTCAAAGACCCATAAGCGACCTACTTGGAGTATGCGTGAGTCCTCTTCGTCCTGCAACGTGTAGTTCTCTCCCAAGACACGCACCTCCTGACCAGCATGCAGGGTACCGGAGACAACCCTAGCCAGGACCTGGAAGAAGGTGCAGTCATCGTTGGGATACATCTTGGAGCTGTGCACCATTAGAGTGCCGTACTGATTGCATGAGATCATATCCCGGTAGATGTCACCCTCCTTGGGTCCGGTGTATATATGATCCACCTTTCGCTTGGCGTTTTCCAATGGCGACTTTATATGCTCCACGCACATGTCCACGAAGCCACTGCAATCGCCCATAAACCGACTGCAGACGAGACGCAGCAGTGGTCGTATATTGGATTTCATCTCATCCTTTGAGACGCGTACATTCAGCTCAGCCAGAGTGTCCGATAAAGTGGTGTCCACATCACCCACCACCTGGGCAATCAGCTTATACATGGGCTCCAGGATGAACTCGACAAAGCTGCGTTGCGCCGAATTATGCGGCTGCTTCTTTGAGAACTTGCGTCTATATGTAGAAAAGTTGTTAGGTATTTAAATCGAAATTATTAATTACACTTACGTTTTACTGTTAAAGTACATGTCGCCCCATAAACGCTTGGCAAAGTCCAGATAGCTCACACCTTCGTAGGTATCTGCATAGAGCTTGGCAAAGGATTTTAGGGTGAAACAGAAGCCATACAAAGAACTGGCAAAGCAAACGTTGCCTAGAATTGGAGAAACCAGCAGATTATCATCTGCAGCGCCATAGATGCTGTGAGAAAAGGATTAGGGATTAGTTGAAAAAAATTGCATTGTATTGCAAAAGAAAATACCTAAGAAGCCCATTGACCTCCTCCACAATATGTTTTAACTTAAAATAGGCATCCTGAGGTGGCAGTTTCAGCTCCAAGATCAGACGATCAATCTGAAAGAGTAAATATAAGCATGAGAAAAAGGTTTATAAACCAACTAAATCACACACAAACCCACCTTGTTGATGCAAACCGTGATGGCCTGGCGTTCCTGCACCGCATGCTTGAGGAGGCGCTCTGTGTTCAGCATAACGCCCTCGGCAGCATCGATAAACAGAACCACACCATCGCACATACGCATGGCGGCGGTAGCCTCATCCGAGAAGTTCACATGCCCCGGAGTATCAAAGATGTTGAGCAAATAGCTCTTTTGCTTAACATCCTGCAGCACGAGGGTCACAGGTGTGGCCTTGATGCTGCAGCCACGCTCCTGCTCGGTAAATAGGGTGTCCGTGTAGCGCAGCTGTCGCTCCTCCATGTTCTCGAACTGAGGATGTGTCTGGCGCATGAGGCAATCAACGAACGTGGTCTTGCCATGGTGCAGGTGGCCAACTAGAGCTACGTTGCGAATGAGCGGTGGCGTGTCCATCAAGTCTGCCATAAACTCCATGTCATAGGTGGTCTCCTGCATGTCCTGTTCCTTGATCTGGAACTTTAACTTCTTCACCGGCTCGATGAGCGGCTTGTCCAGTGGCTGGGCGTCCTCTTCCTGCACAATGGTCTCTACATCCGGCCCGTAGACCTCTACAGCGGACGGATAATAGCGTTTGTCTTCGTGTAGCACCACGGCAGTCACTTCCTTATCCTCATCCTCCTGCGGCTCAGCCTCATCCTCGTCCATGGCGTCCTTAAATAAGATAGTAATTGAGTTTTTGATACTATTCATGTGGTTTTATGGCGACTGCACCTCTGGATCATCCTGAACATCCGGTTGACCGTAAAGGCTCTGGTCGTCGTCTTCATCGCTGTCCAAGTCTGGGCCAATGTAGTTTCCAAATTCGTCATATAAATCGGAATCCATAGTATTTCCTAAAAAATGTGGGAAAACAAGGTTTGCACAACCGGCGTCTCAGAAATGTGTCCCGGTGGTTAATTTCGCTAAACTAAGACCCGCGAACACATTTTTTTACAGGCAATTACTCACCAACGATTTAGAACTCGTCTATAAACTGTTTATTTCTCAATATATTAAGGAAAATCAACAATTAAATTGTTTTTACAAATTTTACACAAAAACGCGGATCTGCAAAACAATTGATAATCGATAGATTTAATTACAACCCCTCGTAAGCTGGTCACACTTTTATCGGTCACAAACCGCTTTGGTGCTGCCAACTTTTCCTAAGTGTAAAAGTATCGATAGTATAGATATTTCCCCCTTAACGGTAAAATTAAACATGAATTTCCCTAATTAAGAGTAATTAACATTTCCCAGTGGGAGCAGGTAGCGCTTGCGAAAAACCTAGGTAGACAACGGATTAGGTTTATATGACATCGTTACAGACCAAAGTCATTAGTCGCGAATTTCAACTGAAGGCGTCAGCAGCATTATGAGAAAAATATATTTACTCCTTCTGATGGCCCAATTTGTGGTCTCGAGTCGAAATTTAAACCAAATTCTTGATCGCGACGAATGGATTAGCATTGCGAAGAAGTATATAAAGAACCACAAGCCGTATAAAGTAATAAGTTACGAGCCGTATAAGCCACAAATCGTTAACCTTACCAACTCATTCGGTGGAGAATTTTGGGAAACAACAATAAGCCCGGAGGAAACAACTAAACACTCTACTGAGGAATTTTCCACCACAGACACCACGCTTTTACCAGACTTAACAACAAACTCTGGTGATACGGATTTTATGGAAACCACAACTAGTGCTTATGACTTTTATACAGCAACCTGGTCCACCACTGAAACTCAAGAAATAACTACAGTGTCTCCAGAAACAAGTACTTTTATTCAGACCACAACAGCGCAAAGCTTCTTTGAAAGGGACAGTACGACTTTAGAGTCTTTGGTGGATAAAATTATTCAGGAGCAGCCGGAAACCACAACGGAAGTTTCGCTAAGCACCACAGAAACACCGGAAACTTTAACATCAACCGATGGCGAGTCTCTACCTTATTACTCCACCAGCACGGAACCAACTGATTCAACTATCTGGCCTTGGTTTTCCTCTACAGAATCGTCAGATATCACAACAGAATCAATAATCAGCACAGAACCGCAGGAAATGAGCACTTTAATTGATACTACAACACCTGAATCTACCACGGTTGAATCTGTGGAAGATCAAAGTACGGAAACCTCTACATCCTTGCTAGATATTATTTCCACGACTCCTGGCTTCGAAACTACCACAACATACTTGGATACAGCTATTGAAAGTACCGAAGAGACTTATTTTGGAACTGAAACCACACCTTCAGGACTTAACTTTACAAATCAAATCCAAGAAGCCACAACTGAAGCCTCCAAAACCACAACAACGACGAAACGAGCAACTATCGTGGAAGATGCCATCAGGCCGAAGAAGAGGAAAATGAAGTACACTTCAGATACAGAACCCGAAATCTCATGGGACTAGAATTTAATAAAAAAAAATAAAATTAAATAAAATAAAGATTATATACATTAAAGTAGATGCGTAATATATTTTAATCAGAACGTTATAAAGAAGTAATTTCCGAGTTTATAAATCGTATATATTATTGCTGTCCTGGTTTTGAAACATCAATGTTTCCCGCCTCTACTACGTGGTGTGACCGCATTCTTTGCGGCTTCTTTGGTATTCTCCGCAGCTGCGGTCACACCGTGAGGAAAAAGAACCAAACAAAAGATTTGAAAAATAATTAGCAGCTGCAAATAGTTGCTCACTAGTTTTCTTTGTTGCAGTTTGCAAGTTCGACGCGCACTTTCTTTACTCTCAGATAAATTATCTCGAATCGTGCGCTTCAATTACGAACGGAGTTTGGGAAAACCAGTTTTTTAGCGTGTTTTTGTGACTCATCAGTTTCCACAGGCTCGCAAGGAGGAATTTCGCCATGGCCGCCAGCAACAACAGCGAGTCCGCCGATCAGGTTGGCATACGTGTGGATAATACCGAGAATCGGGACGATCACACCGATGCCCTGGGCTCCTCGGGTGGCAGTGCAGGTGTGGCCACCGCATCTTCGCACAATCCATACGGAAGCGGCGCCATCGGGCAGCTGGCCAATGGCTACAGCTCACCCTCCATGACCTACAGGAAGAATGTGGCCAAGATGGTCACGGATCGTCATGCTGCCGAGTACAATATGCGACACAAGAACCGCGGCATGGCTTTGATCTTCAATCATGAGCATTTTGAAGTGCCCACCTTGAAGTCCCGAGCGGGAACCAATGTGGACTGCGAGAACCTGACGCGCGTGCTAAAACAACTGGACTTCGAGGTCACTGTGTACAAGGACTGTCGTTACAAGGACATACTGCGCACCATCGAGTACGCAGCTTCTCAGAATCACAGCGACAGCGATTGCATTCTGGTGGCTATTCTATCGCACGGAGAGATGGGCTACATCTACGCCAAGGACACACAGTACAAGCTGGAGAACATCTGGAGCTTCTTCACCGCCAACCACTGCCCCACGCTGGCTGGCAAGCCCAAGCTGTTCTTTATCCAGGCCTGCCAGGGAGATCGTTTGGACGGCGGAGTGACCATGCAGCGCAGCCACACCGAAACCGATGGCGACTCCTCAATGAGCTACAAGATACCCGTGCATGCGGACTTTCTCATTGCCTACTCCACGGTTCCTGGATTCTATTCGTGGCGAAACACCACCCGCGGCAGCTGGTTCATGCAGAGCCTGTGCGCAGAATTGGCAGCAAATGGCAAGCGCCTGGACATCCTCACCCTGCTGACCTTCGTGTGCCAGCGGGTGGCCGTCGATTTTGAGTCCTGCACCCCGGACACGCCAGAGATGCACCAGCAGAAGCAGATCCCTTGCATAACCACCATGCTGACGCGCATTCTGCACTTTACCGACAAGCAGATGGTGCCGGCGGGACGGGTTTGATAGCTACTAGACTGGATAGTGAGCTGGCTGCGGAGAGGTGTGTGATAAGCGGAGGAAAGGCGTAGGAACGCCGAGTCGCAATTAAGATACAACTGCCAAACGTAACTTCGCTGGCTATCGGCGCTAATGGCGCATATTTTTATAAAACCCCCTTTTCCCATGGCCACTTTTGAGAGCCACTGACCATTTCTTTTATCTGATCACAATGTATCTTTAAATTGGCTTTCATTGCTTATTGTCCGCCTGTATCTGTACTAGGGTATGGGTTTCCTTATGCTAAAAAAAAAAGAAATCTCAGGGGCGAAAGCTGTACTTTGCATGAATTCCCTGCTAATGTTGGCTTTAAATCCTGCCATTTAAATATACTTAACTAAATTTATTTTATATTTACACTTGCGCATTTATATTTAATGTTTAAATTATTATGCATGCGATCTCGAGTTTCAAAATTATTAATTTTAAGCGAGACTAAGCCAACATTGCCCTGAAATTCATGTATACCTTTCGCCCCTGATTCTTCTTGATCAGGAATATGGGAACCACCCTCTATATTTATCTACGATATCCGGACATCCCCTCTTTTTCAATTTTTATACGCATAAATATATATAAGTGTATATTATTAGGCAGCTGTGTCGCGTCCAAAACAAACATAAAAACAATTTTAGACTGTAATCGAAAGTTTTATGAACAACATATACTATCTCTTTATACGATTTTAACTCTTATATAATATACACATTAGCAAATGTTTTCATTTCAAGTTTTTCCGCTAATAAAAACGATCGAAAACAATGGGGAAAATCAATGGCCAATGGCTTATTTAGGTGCTTTGACCTCGCCGCTGTCGCATTTTTGGTCCCTCAAGTTGAGCGACATCTCTGGAAAAGGCATCATCAACATCAGCATCGTCGGGAGAAAAAAACGAGGGTCATACGACTTCAGAGCTTACAATCACTTTATTCTTAGGAGCTGCGACACAAAACAACGTTACTAAATTCCAATTTAGAGTTCACTTAAAGCACGCGGGGATGTGGGTAGAATTTTAAGAGCCTGTCAGCGGATCCGACGCGGAGGCTGGATATAAATGCACGTTTCTGATATATAAGTTTCAACTAATTAAAAAACGTAGAATCTTCGCTCACAATATTTGGATAACTGCCTAGATGTGGCCGCCCTCCTTCAGCTTGGCCACCAGGGCATCCACATCGGCGACGGTAGCGCCAGCCTGGCGCACTGGTGGATCCTCCACGGAAACGACCTCGATGCGGGTGAGGTATCCACTCCCAGATCCTTGGCCGTGACCTTCTTCAGTGGCTTCTTCTTGGCCTTCATGATGTTGGGGAGCGTGGCGTAACGGGGCGTGTTCAGGCGCAAATCAGCGCTCAAGACGGCTGGTGTCTTGGTCTTGATGGTCTCCAGACCTCCGTCAATCTCACGTGTAATGGTCAGACCGGCGTCCGTCTTCTCGATCTTGTTGCAGAAGGTGCCCTGCGGCCAGTCGAGCACGGCAGCGGTCATCTGGGCCGTCTGGTTGGCATCGTCATCGATGGCCTGCTTGCCCAGGATTACCAAATCGGCCTTCTCGTCCAACGCCAGCTTAGCCAGGATCTTGGACACGTGGATGGGCTGCAACAGCTCGTATTCGGCGGCTGGAATCTCCACGTGGACGCCACGATCGGCACCCATGGCCAGGGCGGTGCGGATAACCTCCTGCGACTGTGTGGGGCCCACGGACACGGCGATGACCTCCTCGGCCAACTTTTTCTCCTTCAGCTTGACGGCCTCCTCGACGGCAATCTCGTCGAAGGGGTTCATCGAGTGCTTCACGCCCTGGGTGACCACACCGGTCTTGTCTGGCTTGACGCGGACCTGGACATGAGATGGAATAGGAACAGTACTTTAATTATCAATTAATAAAAGCGATTACGCAAAACAGAGGGCGCAACAAGTGATAAAAAAGAATGATGAGAAGTGAGCAACAGTCGAATTTAAGGCTCACCTTGACGGCATAGTCGATCACACGCTTAACTCCAACCAGAACACGCGCCATTTTCTGCAAATTATTATATTTTTATGATTTATTTAAGGAAATTTATGATTTTTTTATTAATTTTGCGGACTTACCTCTTCAAGATGGAAACGAACTGATTTGTTGGTCGGAGGGGAGGCGCGGGTGGTCCAAAGGTCTTGTGTGCTTTGCGGCGTTGCCAGGCCGTCGTGCCGATTAATTTATTCACAGTTATAATATACCTGAAAAATTAAACCTAATTGGTTTACACAATTTAAATAAATAAATTAGAAAACATGAAGAAAAAAGTTGTTAAATGTTTTCAATGTTACTTAAATTAGCATTTATTAAACGCTTGTAGATTATTTTATATATTCTTCTGGTATTTAAGTCGAAACGTAAGTCAGATCGGAAGACTAAATCATATAGGTGCTATAGAAAAATTTGAACATTTTTAGAAAAATTATTATAAAACTTCCCGTTTCAAAATAATTACCTCTAATTTGATATAAGGTTCTTATATTATTGTATTAATTATAAATGATCGAGTTGTAATCTCAAAGGGTATAGAAGCTTTCTTGGTTTTAATTAATTTATAAATTGATAACCAAGCGATTAGTATCGGCAATATGTACCATCACCAAGCACATACGAATTCCTGGCTTTACTCTCCTCTAATTTGTTATCAGCTGTATGTACTTTCTCCACTTTCGGTGCCGCTGTGCGATCTTCCATTCCAAATTCTGGTAAAGATCGGCTCTTTCCAAAAACAAAAATGGCCACCACAGCTCCGGTGATCATGCGCCTCATGGCCTCCTCAATAAACACAGCCAAGCGGGCTGGCGGGATCATACGCGATGTCCTCAAGAAAGGCGACCTGGGAATCGTAGACAAGGGAAAGAACGATCCTCAGACGGAGGCGGACCGCTCTGCACAGCGCTGCATCATTGCTTCGCTGACTAAGAAGTTTCCAAGCGTAAAGATTATCGGCGAGGAAGGTGGCTCCGATCTGAACGTTTGCGACGATTGGCTGGTCACGGAGCTGGATGAATCGTTCCTGCAGCAAAGCTGTCCAGAGGAGTGGCAAGATGCTAAGCCCGAGGACTTTGTGATATGGGTGGATCCGCTGGACGGTACAGCAGAGTACACACAGGGTAAGTAAATCGAATAAAATCTTTTGGCAAGTAAATATCTATACAATTTCTATCTATTCTGCAGGATTTGTTGAGCACGTCACTGTACTAATTGGCATAGCTGTTAAGGACGCAGCCGTGGGCGGCATCATTCACCAGCCGTTCTACAAGCAGCCCGGCGGCGAGCTGGGTCGCACTATTTGGGGTCTTAAGGGTCTAGGGACGGGAGGATTCGTCCCAGTGCCAGCTCCAGCCGGTCAGTTCATCATCACCACCACTCGCTCGCATTCCAATGCCTTGCACCAGCAGGCTCTCAATGCCTATGCATCCACAGAGGTGCTGAAGGTCGGCGGTGCCGGCTTCAAGGTGCTGCAGCTGCTGGAGGGCAAAGCACATGCCTACGTGTTTGCCACACCGGGCTGCAAGAAGTGGGATACGTGTGCACCCGAGGCAGTGTTAGAAGCGCAAGGTGGCTGCCTGACCAATATCAATGGCGAGCACTACTTGTACAATGCGGATGTGGAGCACGTGAATCGAAAAGGCGTACTGGCCAGCCTGGGACAAAATCATTCCGAACTGGTGGAGAAGATACCCGCAGATGTGCGGGCGGCAGTGGGAGCCAAGCTGTGAGTGTGTCGGTACTTTATTTTATTTTTAATGTTGAGCTAAAGGTATAAACATACATACATACATAAATAAGCGATAACAGAAGGGATAAAAGATCAAGATCGTGAAATTATAAGTAGAAACTTTGAACGAAACTTAATGTAGTATTATGATTTATCGAAACTTCCGCTCTGGCTATTGATGCTGCTGTTTATGCTGGTGCTGTTGTTGACCGCCGCCGAGTTGTTCAGGTAGCGATTTCGCTTCGCCTTGGCCATCTTGCAGGAGTTGACCGAAGCGGCGAACCGCAGCGATTTGACAGACTCTTGAAAACAGTCCTGGAACGGCGAGACATTGATGAACATAAGGGTCTTGGAGTTGCCACCCAGCGAGGGCATCAGGAGATGGGTCAGCTTGGAGTTCCGGTAGGGAATGTGATCCTGCTTCTGCAACAGCGCCAGGATCACGTTGGTCAGCTCGGAGAGTGAACGATTAATATTCTTGGTCTCGGTCATCCGTGTGCTGGTCTTCGGTGACTCCGAACCGGCCAAATCCACCAGATTGATAGATCCCACCGACATTTCCTGCTTATCCGCATGTCTGCCGATTAGCGCCAGCTTCGTAACGGCATGAGAACGCGAGGAGCGCTCGTTGCCAGCCGTGGAGGCGGTGGCTCGGTTCATCTTGGCCGTGTACATCAGTTGCCGCAAGTGATTAGGATCAGTGACAGTTTCCTCCGTAATATTGGACACATAGATATCGTTCTTATTGTTCTTGGCCATGCGAATCTCCATGTCCTTTTGCTCGTTGCTCAACAGGTCGTATAGCACCTCGTTGTATATTTCCAAGAAGGTGGCCTTGATCTCGTACTCCCATCCCAAATTGCGATAGCCCCGGATGGAGTCGAAGAGCAGATCGACGGTGCGCGGGATTACGCCAACGCTATCTTCCACTCCGTCCATTGTGTACGTCTTGCCGCTGCCTGTCTGACCGTACGCGAAGATGCATATGTTGTAGCCATCAAGGGCTGATTGAATCAGCGGCGACACCATCTCGAAAATGTCTGTTTGCGAGGATTTGGGATGAAAGACCTGGTCGAACGAGAAGATTTGCTGGCCCATTTTGTTTTTCGCCTGGGCATCAATGCTCTGCAGCTCAACGGTAGCCTCATCATGGTAGGTCCATGTGCAGCACATCCGGTTCTCCTCGCAGTCCAACGGTGGTCGAATTCTGCAAAAGACGCGAATATTTCCACGCAGATCCATCACCGTGTTGTGCAGCTCCTTACGCTCCATGTTCGATGCGAAGAGCTGCTCCTTGCAGATCTCCAGCTCTGCCGCCTGCTGGTCATTGCTGCGCTGGAGTTCGTCGGTGAGTTGCCGCAGATGCACCACCTCCTTACTAAGAGCAGCATGCTCAACTTTAATTTTCTGTAAGAAAAATCAGCTTATTAATGGTATGCCTTATATAAATGTATAAATTATAGGCTTACCTCATGTATTGCCTGCAGTTCGGAGAGCTCCTCCTTGGTTCTTCCCAGTGTTGTGGTAATTGTCTCAATATTCTTTGTGTGCTGCTTCACCTGCCTCTGGAGACACTCGTTATCCGTCTGCACGTTCTTCAGCGTGGATTCGGTCTCAATTAGCTTGTTCTGCGTCTCCTCTAGCTGCGAGGGTAATGATTCCAGCTCACCCATGTCCTCTATTTGCTTCTCGTATTTGGTTTTGAGGACCTTGTGCTTGTCGAGAAGATCGTGGAAGCGAGCCTTGAAGTCGTACGGTGCTATGCGCTTCGGCGCAGCACCACCTGCACCTCCTGCCCCAGCTCCGCTAGTTTTTGCTGTACCAGAGCCTGCTCCTACGGCTTTCGGTTTGGTCTTGGCAGCGGCAGCTGCAGCAGCTGGTGCAGTACCACCAGCTCGAGGAGCAGGCCGTGCCGGAAGTGTCCGCTTAGCAACTGTCCCAGCGGCGCCAGACGTTGTTGTGGAGGCAACCGCCGGGCGTCCCAATCGCTGGCTGGGGGCGGTAAAGCCACTACTGGCCAGACGTGATACTTTGGATGGTATGGTGGGCAATGTGGGCGGTGCGGCTGCGCGCTTGATGTTCTGGCGCATTTCGTTGATGTCGCAAGCGGAGCGACTGCGTCGCAGTTTAGCCCTATTGATCATTTTGGCGGGTTCCGGTGAAGCAGCTCGTGCTAAGTGAGGCATAAGGATTAGGAGGCTAAAACAAAACGCAAAATTCTTCGGACTCACCTCCTCGTTGTTGCAGCACTTGGGGAAGATTGTTGAGGTCGCGGGTTAGAGGCGGCAGCAAGTTTCCGCAGTAGGTCTGGTTGCCACTGGTGCCGCTAGCTGCTCCTGGTCCTCCTCCAGCTCGTATGCGATCCGTGGGTAGCACAGTTTTTACCGGCGGCAGAACTGGCCGCTTTGCTGTCAACATGGGCTTTGGCAAACGGGATTCCATGACGTTAAGTGGGTGTGGTCCTTAGATTTTAAATATATTTTCGTAACTCCTGGCCTCTTCAATTGGATATTTTGATTTTAATATTTAGGACAAGCGACGCCGATGCCAATTCGCGCCGTTATTTTCGATTGCAGGGCTGCTTTGAAAATGTGTGACCATATTTAAGACATATTTCCATTTCAATCAGAAGTGCTGCCACTTTTTTCGTTTCCTGCTCGTGCGATATATTCCGTGACTGTTCACGCCAATCAGATGTTTTCAGTGCTGCAGCAGCCCTGGACATCGGGCACGATTTTTTACGCAGATTCGGGTTTTCCGCATGAATTTCGCGAGTGAAAAACACAAAAATGGTGCAAACAATTAATGGCCTCTCCAAATGAATAGTGATTTCTTAAGATAATAATTGGAAATGAGTCCAACGCCTTGAAAAGTGCAGAACTGTGCGCAGCACGCGTAACGTTACCAGACTGTTGCGGACATTTGGATTGGTGTTATTTTTGTGATTTTAAAAGTTTTCTCCTGTTTCATGTGATGTAAAAAGATCCAATTCTTTTTCTTAACATTGGTTTTCCCTTGAAATCTTCGGAAAAACTCGGTTGGGCTGGAAAATCGTCGCGTGAGTAGGTGGTTGCCAGACCAACCGCAGGGCGCACGAGTCCATCTCTAGTTTGTTTTCATTCGGAAATTGGAAAAAAAAGCTCTTGCAACTGAGATTGATTTCATAAATTAAATCTGGATAGCGTGTGCTCCCAAGGCCGCAAATCTTGACGAGATGGCGGGGCACGCGGAGCTCAAGGAGCTGGGCATGTTCGAGCTGCGGCCCCTGATCACCAATCTCAGCTGCAAGCTTTCAGCGGTGACGGCGGGCCTGGACGAGAAGCAGTTCCTGTGCCTGGTGAGCGAGGAAAACGAGATCCTGCTGCGGTACATCAGCGTCTCCGGCCAGGAAGTGGTTAAGATGATATCCTGGTTCCGCAACCGTGTCATTCACGACGTCTGCTTCGACCCAGCAGGCATCTGGCTGCTGGTGCTATGTAAGTGGGTGGCTGGGCAAATTTCTGGGGGTGGCGGTGACTGTGGGCGGTAGTGCGGTTGCGGGTGGCGAAGCCTAAAATTACTCTGCGCCCGTGTGTGTGCGTGTGTGGCTATTGATTTTCTGTTGCGTACTTTGTTTTGATTCAGCGGGGTCCACCGCCCCATCCCGGTCAGATCGATTCGCGATTTCGAGTGTTACTGAACCCCGAACTACATATGTATCCGTTCCATCAACAGGTTTCGACAACACCCTGCATATCGTGCCCGCTTTGGCACTGGTGGACAAGACGCACGTACTGGCCGCCTGCTCGCTGTACAGCACCAGCCAAGTGACCTCCTACATCATCCCCTTTGTGGGTCCTCACGAGTGCCCCAACTCTAAGAAGTGTCCCAATCACTCTTCGGGTCTTGACGATCCAATGGTACCGGAGCCGGTGGAGCAACTTCCAGGCAATTTGGAAACCCTCAAGTTGGAGGCAGAGGAACCTCTGGGCCACGATCTGCCCGAGCACATGCTGGTGAGAAACAGTGATCAGGTTGACGGCTCTACGGGACAGCAGCCTCAACAGGAGCAGCAACCGGTCGTGCAGCCGTTTGATGCCACCGGTAACAGCCAGGTGATGGCCACCTCCTTCATGGCGTCCAAGACCTGCCCATATCCATTGTCCGTGGTTTGGTGGAAGACAAACACCGGTCTAAATAGGGCCATTATCGGGTACTCAGACGGCTCCATTTGTTTTGTGGGTTTGAGTCCCAACTGCCCGATGATTGCGAGCACCGCCATCGAAAATGGATCTGTGATGCGTCTGGTTATCTGCAAGGATAAGGCCTACGACGGCGTCATGCTGCTGGTGAGGATAAAACACTTAATTATTTAATGCTTTGTATGTAATCTTTGCTTCCTTCCAGATTACTTCCTCGCTAAAGCAGCAGTACAAGCTTCTTTTGGAGCAAAAGGCAATCATGTACGTGTACCCCGGAGACAGTTCACCCACGACACGCGAGGGGGCCTGGCAGATCGTGATGTCGGTGCAGAATAAACAGCAGAGCACTGCCGCGGGTCCCAGGCAAAGTAATAGTTCCGATCCGGCCTCTGACAGCAGCCAGCTGGAAGAGGATGTGTTTGTGCCTCCGTCCAGCGAGGAGGCAGCGTCTAGCAGTCAAGCCGCGAAAGCCTCAGACGCTAGTGCTGAAACTGGAGCTGTTGGAGCAGAGGGGCCACCACCACCACCGCCGGCACCACCATCGTACAGCGAAGCAGTAGCCCGGCAATCCGCCGAACAGCAGGGAGGCGTACGCTTTCAGCAGCAACAACTGCCAGCGGGTAGCACCAACGATGGCATTCTGCCCGCAACGAGAGCTCGCCTAGCCTCGCTCAAGAGTCTCGGAACCAAGAAGCTGCAGGCCATCAAGATGCGGCTTTCGGATCAGCGGCAAAAGTTCGATGAATGTGCGTAAGCTAAAAGTACAATTACTCGTTAAACCTTGACGAAATTCCTTCGGATTCGTTTTGACATTTATTTAATTCTGAGGCCTGAAGGCCTCCTTCTTCCATTGCCTCTCTAAACATATTTTCTTTCCCAATTCCGTTTACCTTTGTTAATTTTAGTCCGCTATTTTATTGTGTATTTTATATTTGTTTATTGGTGTGCAGTTTTGAGAGAACTGTTGCATCTATTGAAGCGTCACTGGCGTGGTGAGTTTTCACAACTCTCGCACTCGACAGACTTAAATAGAACTGGAATATAGACACGAGTTTGAAAGCCCAAAACTAAGCATTTCCTTTCCCATTTTCTTCTAGTTATGCCAGACTCCGCGGGCTCTTTTGCGATCATGGACTCGCCCTCGGTCACGCCAGAGCCGCTGGGCACCACCACCGGATCCTTTTACACCATCCAAAATCTACGCAGCACCTTCCTGCTAAGCGCCCTGCACAGCAACAGCCACAGCCTGACCGTGCACAGCATCGATATTAGCCTGAAACCGTTGTTTGTTTACAAGATACCGAAGCACACCCAGGAAATACTCATTAGCTCCAACATACTCTACGGCATACACTATGTGGATCTTCACTGTCGCAGCGACTCGGCCATTTCTACGGCGGCCTCGTCGCTGGCAGAACCGCTGGTGGCCAATACGGACAAGGAGAATCGGGACGCGGACACCGAAAAACTGGATCAGGCGGATGCTGCGGAAGTCAGTGGACAAAAGAGCGACACAACTAGTGCAACGACCACGGCCACCTCCAGTTTGGACCACAGCGAGATGCCCAGTAATGCGATCAATGCGGTCAGCGTCATCAGCAGCGCAATGGCCTCGCTGCACACCTCCGACGAAGATGTGAGTATTCTATCTATTGCAAGATATTTAAACATAAATCAAACCCTTTATCTTGACAGCGCTTCAACAATCTGGCCCAGATAGGACTCTTTCGTTTCGAAAACGAAACCGTGCTGCACCTGTATCAGATGGCACAATATCGCAGTCCCGCCGGCCAGCCGGAGGCGCTTAGCAAAGAGGAGAAGGCCAAGGCTTTCGAAATCAAGGATATTCACACGCCCATGGACTACATTCAGTTTTACGAGACGGCGGACGTAAGCAGTGAGTTCTCTCTGAGACAGATGGAGATAATGCAGTCCGAGTTTCCCAAGATCAATTATGATCCCAGCTATGTGATCACCAATAAGAATGTATATACCATACAGCTCAGGTGAGTTGGAGAACCATTAAAGCCAGCTGTAGCTTTTTTATTAAACCGAGTATGTCCTCCAGAAAGGAGCCCTTCGAACTGTTTCTGGATGCCGCCCTGCAGAACGAGTTTAATCAATGCCGCGACTTCTGCAACACTTTCGACCTCTCCTTTGAGCAGTGCATCGAGTTCGCAGGCGACTATCTGCTGCGGCGCAAGAAGATTACCCAAGCTCTGCTCACGTACAATGTGGCGCGTGTCAAGCCGATACGCACAGCCCTTAAGCTGGCCATGTACGGACACACCTACGCACTGATGCAGCTGAGTGCCATGGCCCTAAAGTCCACATATCTCCTGCGATCGCGGCACATGGGTCACCCACTGCTCAAGGGTATAATGGAGGACATCACCTACCGGCACTCGGAGGACGTGCGTATGATCTTGCCCGAGAAAACGCTGCAAGAGGATGTGATCAGTGGTGCCGTCTGCAGTGATTATCACTATGGTGTGGACGAGTCAATTAGCGCCCTGCAAATGTCGCCATCCTCGCAGTTTCATTTGGCCAACCTGTTGCTCATTACAATGGCGGAGAAGGCGGTTAACGATAAGAACTACATACCGCTGTGGTAAGTATAGATTAGTCAAGGATAAAGGATGAATTTAAATTCGTATTTCGATAGGAACTTCCTGGTCACCAATAGCAAATATCACACCAACATGACGAGCATTGTTCTGTGTCAAAGTGGACTCTTCTCGTCGGCGATTGTACTGGCCAAAGTTCGAGGTGTTTGTCTTGATACTTTCAATGCATTAATTAGTGTGGTGGCCCAGGAGTTTGGCTGGTACAATGAGCTCAACGTGTGCCTGTATAATCTGAGCGAGAATATATTTATGGAGTCAATAACTTACCTGCCGCATGTGTCCATGGACTACTTTGCTTTCATCCAGGAGAAGCTGGATCATATAAGGCCTTGTGTGCTGCAGGTAAGGATATTAATTATGATGTTTACTATTACTTGTTTATAAATACAATTTATTTTCAGCGCCTGTCCAAGCAGTTGAATCCCTTCGCTCCTGCTCTGAGGCCCATTGTTTCCCACAATAGCGACTGCGCCATGGCCAATGATAATAACCAGCAATTGTTTGAGTTTGGCAAGAGTCTCATTGAAACCTTTTTGGCCGTGCTCATCCACATGGAATCCCAACGCGTCAAGCATGATTTAATTGTGAATGCTCTATCGCATTTCCGTATTAACTACGAAGACAATCAGGCAAGGTTTTCTTAAGAATAGTTTCTCTCCTTGCAGGGTATTTTAATTTGCGTCAGAAGTGTAAAACGCAGTGAAGGAGTCATTTCCGATCCAAATAACCATATATATTATTGATCAGCATCAAAAGCCGAACCGACTTAAATAGGTCCGATAGAAAAAAAATTAACTTTAATGCAAAAATGTATAAAGAATTGAATTTTTTAAATCTAAAAACTCAGTATGCAGATTTGTTAACCCAACAAAAAATAGCACAGAAGTGAAATTAATGTATTCTTGATTTAGTTATGACGATTTGTATGATCAAAGTGCAATGGTATATGAACCTCGGCCTCCCGAAGTTGGCTTAGCTTTTCTTCCTTGTTTTAATATTAATTTTATCCCTTAGTTTGCCATTGAATCATCGCGCTTCAAACCGATCTCAGCTGGTTGTGCTTACTGTGCCTGTGTGGTGGATGGCACCGCCTACTTCTGGGGCTCCAGTGGTATTCCCACCTATTACAGCGCCCAAAAGTCAACTGGTAAGGGTTATAATATCACTTAGTTATTACATTTACTATATTTTTGTAATCTATATTTCAGAGCCACCAGAACCGGCGCATGCTGTGAAAAGCCTGGAGCTTCTCTCTCAGCTCAATTTGCAAGTTCATGCTATCAAGTGCGGGCGACAGCATACACTTATTCTAACCAATAATGGCGTAGGTTATCTCGCAAGCTTTGCCTAGTTTTGTATATTAATTGCTTATCTTTTTCCAGCTCTATTCTGTGGGAAATAACAATCTCTGTCAGCTGGGTATAGGACGACATATGCAAATGGCCTTGCAGCCCATGCTTGTGACGGCCTTGGATGGAATGAATATAACCATGCTGGAGGCGGGCCAATATCACAATGCGGCCGTAGCCGATGGCAAGCTCTATATGTGGGGGTGAGTTTTTGAATCATTATTCCAAATATTATATGATTACGTTTAATTATAAATTAATTCCGGTTCAGATGGGGCGTCTATGGTCAGCTGGGACAGGGCAGCTGCGAAAACATAGCTACACCACAACTAGTCAGTTTTTTCAAGTTTAAGGTAAGTACCTCAAGCTCCAGTTAATAGAATCGATTTACCAAATCGTTTTTATCTTCTCTCTTTACATAAATCCCTTTTGCATTACCTTTTGCTAACGAATTTATGTTTGCAGAAAATTTTACAAGTATCGCTGGGCCATGCGCACACCTTGGTGCTGTGTGGGGCATCTAGCAAATATATGGAGGCCAGCGGATGCAGTACAGAGCTCTTCGTATTCGGCTCCAATCACTTTGGTCAGCTGGGTACCGGTAATAGCGACCAGGCTGTCGACACCAAGATAAATCTGCCAGTGCGCCTGGAGATGGGCGACAGCAGCTTAAGACTGATACACACCAAATTTTTTACCAATGTAAGTTTTAAATGGTTATAATTTATAAAACTTATTATTTTCAATGTTGAACTGAATCCCCAGTTAGCTGTAGACGATCAGGAACGTCTCTTCACCTGGGGCAGTTCGCCGCAGGCCTTGCGACTCGCCAATCAAATCAAGAGACGCGCAAATGCCAAGCAGAAGCTGGAGGAGAATCACCAGCGAGAGATGCTAAGCAAGCAATTAGAGGCTACTCTGATGCCGGCGGCTAATCTACCCAGCACCACTAGCAATATAGTTGAGCCCACTACATCCTATGCGGCGGTGGTGGCCGGCGCCACCCCTAAAGCCCCCAGTGAGCCCAAAGAGGAGCAGGGGGATAATGAGGCTGTGCCATCAGATGCTACGGAAACCATTGGAACTACGAGTAAACGAGGAGCGGAAATACTTAATTCGGGCCCGCCGCCAGCCCCGGCTCCGGGACTTGCGGTTTCGGCCACCGAACCCGATCCCACGGAGCACCTGAGTCCACATTTGGTGGACACCAGTGAGGTGGCAGGCCAAATTCTGCAGGTTAGTTGAGAGCAGAAGTCAAATGTCGAGTAAATAATTTATTTATTTAATTATATAAAGCTGGCATATTGTTAAAAACTAAAAGCTAACTTAATTTATGAGCATTGGCTGCTGTGGCCTACCGCTCGATTGGATATGTACAAATTTTAGTTTTTAAAGAATGGCATAGAACCGAACAAATAATAATTCCTCATTCCTTTGCAGATCGCAAGTGGCCTGTTCCATTTCTGTTTGATCTCGTCCAGCTGTACGCTTTACACGTGGGGCAAGAACCTAGAGCACCAGCTGGGCACCGAGGACAAGGAACGGCGGGCCGTGCTAAAGCCCTCGCCCATCGACAGCATCGAGCGACCGATGTACGTGGACTGCGGAGCGGACTTCACGCTGGTCATGACCACCGATCATATGGTGCGCGCCTTTGGTGGCAACTCGAACGGCCAGTGCGGCCGGGATCTGGGCGCCAGTTTGGAAAGGATGCGACAGCGGGTAGTGTGCCTGCCGACAACGAAGCGGCTGATGCGTTTCGAGAGCCAATGCGTCGAGGCGCCGGTGGAGATCAATCTGCCGAGGCCACGCATCCGGCTGGATCAGGATCCAGTCAGGTATCTGAAGGTCATGCCGCCGTACCAGCCACACTTCCTGCAGCCGGCAAACATAAGCTTTGATCAACAGTACTCCGTGGGCACGGGCAATTACAAGAGCAGCACAGAACCCGCGGCCACCGGGCAGGACTCGGATGATATGCTGAGCAGTCTGGAGAACCTCAGCCAAAACGATGCCAGCTTCTCGTATAATGTCCCGGCGATGGGCGTCGATGTCAACAGCTCGCTGGATATGGATTACACACCCGAGGAGCAGAGTTACGTGCCGCTGCCCGAGCAAGGGGGAGGAGTACCCGTCACAGTGCAGCAGCAGCTGTTGGGCAGGAATGATGGTGACGATGATGCCAGCACCTTTACGCCCAGTAGCGAGGGTCTGGAGGAGGCGTCAGTGCAGCAGCTGCGCCACTACATCCATTACTGTCTGTACGTCTTTCACGGCCTGTATAATCCCGACAAGATTAGCGAGTGTGCCCGTCCAAATCGCAACGAGTACCGCATTCGGATCTGTATGCTCAACTTCCGGTTCGTTGAGGCCTTCCGGCTTTGCCTGCAGAACTGTGATTCCGCCCAGCGCACACTTAAGCTTTTCGAGTACTTTAGCAAGGACACAGGCTACGTGCCCCTGCGGCGGGCAGACCTGAAGCACCTCATCTACCACCTGTGTCTGCACTTCCTGGAGCGCAAGTTCGATATGCTCGAGTGCGAGCGCTTCTTTATGGGCGACCTGGACTACTATCTGCTGGAGCTGGCCTATGTCTTCTACTTCAACAACAACAACTCGACGTTGGAGCAGAATCTCAACCAGAAGTTCAAGCATCTGATGGCAGCGGCGGCGGACGAACAGCAGCAGCAGCTGCAGGACACTGATGTCATCTTCGATAGCTTTACGGTCAAGTTCAAGACGATCCTGTGCCAGCGGCTGCTGAGCTACTCGGACTGCGAGGCTGCCAATTAGCAGTGGCTCTGCCCAGGAGTTCCGTTCCCAGTTCCGGTCTTGAATCCTGGTCTCTTCCGTTCGGCCCGCATCAGTTGAGGGGCCTTGTCGTCATTTGTCTTGTGTTATGTGTTTTGTTGTAAGTTCAGTCCGGGAACTGGGGACTCCCTTTTATGTGTCCCCACTATATACACCATAATTGTTGTTTGCGGTTATTTATATGTACATCAAAGGCTTTTTATAGCGCTGTTATTTAAACAAAATATTTAAGACAAGCAAATTGTTTAAAGAATCCAATTTTTGTAACGCTTTGTTTGCTGCTTTTTAATTGTTTACTCAATAAACTAAAAACAAAAAACGATAAAGTAATCCAAAACTGCTCATCATCGAACAGATCAAAAAGGAGGCTCTGCAAGATATACACCATACATACATAAATATATATTTTTTGTTTTCTTATTCGATATTCAGCTTGTGATTTGCAATTATTTAATAAAACCAGAGTAGAAATAATATAATTATATACACATATATATGATTAACAATAAAGTACGTTTATATAAAGAATCCGTCTCTACAGCTTAAGCTTGATATTGTCCGTGGTCCAGCGCTTGCTCTGCAGCGACTTGAGGGCATTCTCGCAGTAGAACTGCTCCTCAGACCTATCCGGCAGGGAGTCCTTCAGCTGCAGTAGCTCCTGTTGCTGCTTCAGTCCAGCCATGGCATCGATCACAGCCTTGATGCACTTCACCCGCTGTGCCAGGGCCAGCTTTTCCACCGTGTTGCCCATCTTGGAGAGGAAGAGTTGGAGCACAGTTGAGGGAGCCTGCAGCTCATACAGCCGGAGCACGGCCAGCGTGAGGTCGAAGCTAATGTGAAACTGCTTGGATTTCAGGGGATGCCAACTGGGCACGCGCTCAAAGATGCACTCCAGGTCGGCATATGCTTGGGCTTGCGCCCGCTCGTTGAGCGCTGTCCACTCGTACTGCGCCGGCGAGATCTGCTGATCGGCGGCAAAGCGTTGCGGCGATACTAGCTTCAGCATATCCTGCTCCTTCCAATTGCTGTTCGCCTGGCAGCAGGCATAGAGCACCTCAACGGGTGTGGCTTGATCCCGGAGCAGTTTGCCCAGGCCATTGTCCTTCTCCAAAAGCTGTTGCATCTTCAATGCGGCATGGAACACCTGTTCGTACAGCGGAATAATGCCAACTCCTGCTGTAGAATATGCGTCAACCAAACGCTGGAGCTGTTGCTTGCGAGCTGTCACATCCGCGGCGGATAAAGCGGCCTGAAACTGCTTTAAAGCCGCCTCCTGGTGTCGTCCGAATCTCTGCAGTAGATCTATATAGCTGGCCAAGTCGCCGGCTTCTTTAAGGTAACTCAAGTACTGCTCCAAAGCTTTGGGTCGCTCCTTGAGTATACCGTGAAACTGGACTGTATTCAGAGTTTTCTTGAGGAAGAGCAGCACAGAGATGACAGCATGTCCGCCGCCTTGGGCCAGCAGGGTGTCCAGCAATTGACGCTTCTCGTGCAGGGACTTGAACATCTCCAACGGCGCCGTCTTGCCCTGCAAAAGCTTTTGGGCCGTAGCCTCCAGATTTGGACTGTACAGCGTGCTCTGGAGTTGGCGCCGCAGCAACTTCAGTTCCTCCTCCGGCGACACGCCCTTGGGCAAGACACGGTCGTCCAGTGCCTGCTCTTGGAGCACCAGCTTCAGAGCTTCCTCGCTCAAAATGGACTTGATGGAGAGATTCAGAGTGGCGCTGTTGTCGAAGCTGGCCTCAGAGATGGCATCGTCGGCGAGGATTCCATTGGTGGCCAGCTCCGGGCCAAGGTCCACCTCGTCCTCATCGTCGAAGCTAAAGGCTGCGCGAGAGGATCGGTTCCAATACGTTTCGCTGTCAAATTGCAGGTCCATTTGTTATTTGCTTTACTTTTATTATTGTTTTGGCCAGTGTGACCCTTGCATGAACTTAAGGAAAGTACTAGGAAAGCTCTTTGTTTTCAAAACATTCTGCTACGAATGGCGGTCGTTCTAAAAATTTGAAAACCCAAATTAGGGAATTTTAGCTCATTTTTGCTTTATTTTTCCATTTTGCCAAAGATTTCTTCCCCACATTTTGAAAAGTATTTAGATAAGTTCCAAGAAATGTGTAAAAATTCTCTTTATTCGAATTTAAAAGATAATAAAATCCAATTTAATTACCACTTCCGTTTCCGCTTTATTTTTAGCTTTTTAGCTTCTTCAGAGCCATGTTTATCCAAGGATGCAGTGCCTCTAATCTAGTATAGACACCCGGCTTATCCGCCAGGGCGCATCCCACGCCCCAGGACACAATGCCAACCAGTTCCTCCCGCCAAACCAATGGTCCGCCAGAGTCCATTTGACAAGCATCCGTACCACCTTTGAGATAACCCGCACACATCATCCGATCCGTTACGGTCTCGCCCAGTAGCTTCTTGCAAACAGCTTGATTAACGACGGGAACCCGGGCATATCTTAACTCATCCGATGGTGGACCATTAACAGATTTAAAGCCCCAACCGGCAATCGTAGTATATTGGCCATCGGCTACTTTCTTGGGGTTTATTTTAATAGCTTTTATCTGAAAGAAACAGAAACCTTAAGCAAGTGAGTAATTAAAGTGGTTAACTTGAAACCTTTTTTGAGAATTTCAAAGCTGTCTTCAATCGAATCACTCCAATATCATAGTCCATGGTCTTGGTTGTCCACTTCTCATGATAGTACATATCGGAAATTTGATATATTTGCCCATCTTTGGAGTCGCGCCTTTCGCCGCCAGCTTTAACTCTGAGGAGAATTCGAGGAACTTGGGCAAGGCAGTGGGCTGCCGTTAAAATTGTGCGATTATCTATAATGGAACCGCCACAATGGTGGATGCCATACAACTGAATGGACACTATGTACGGCACTTTGGCTATATCAGCTGGAACCCCACCGACTATGCGTGGATCTGGACGATTGTTTTCTTCAAGTAGACCGAAAGAGAAATGGACAAAAATTAAGATCCACAATAACAGGTTCATCTTTAGCACTTCGCCTAGAGAGAATCACATTAAATAAGGAATGTGCGGCTTTTAAGCAAACTTTTTAAGTACAAAAGAACGTGAAATAATGAGAGGAAAAGCATTCCAATAAGTGGCCATTACTTTGTAATTAGGCGAGAAGTTTCGTTTATCTCACAGCTGTCTTCTAGAGAAGATTTCCAGTTTGCTGCAAGACTAAGACTAAACGTTCTTCGTGCTTGCAAGTGATTTAAACTAATTAGGGTTCCGTAATAGATGAAACACATGTTTGGGAAAGAGAGTTAGTATCAAGTTACTTTTTCCGTAAATATGTTTGATTAATTATAACGGCTAATGTGATATGGTAATTAATTATAAGTTCTGGAGAAAAAATTTAATTGGTACCTTAAAGAACTCATATTATAATTTGTCATGACATACAATGTATTAATACGTAGAAGTCAATGTTGACATATGTGGTGAATTATTTCATAAATAACGTTTATTAATTTATAGAAAGGTAAAAGTCGGAAAACCAATATTATTAACATAATAATAATAAACTTTTGGGTCAAGATCATATATAACATTGGAACCTAAGAATATTGGATATATTAATTTAAATATATTGAATTATAGTTATATATTAACTTTAAATTAATATAAAAACAGACAATTTCATTGAAAAATCAATGTTTAGCAAACATCGCATTTAAGCCAAAACACAATTTATTTTGATTCGGAAAGCTTTTCTGTGCTAGTTTTTATAGCGCTAACAAAAATGCATACTGCGTTTGTTGATGCAATTATAGGTTTTTGACTAAAATCATAAGAACCTGCAAAAAGGTATAAAAACGGACCATTCTTCCGAAAAATCATAGTTTAAAAAAAACTCATAACTAAGCCAAACAATCATTAATTTTAATTCGGAAAGCTGTTCTATGCTAGTTTTTAGTAGATTAACAAAGCTGCATACTCAGTTTTCAAATTTAAAAAATTCAATTTTTTGTCAAATTTTGACAATTTTAATGATGTAACCCCTTATAAAATTTTCAATTTTCGGAAAAATGTCAAAAATTTATTTTTCGACCGGACATGTCTAGAACGACTGGGCTGTTAATGCTGATCAAGAATATATATGGTTTATAGGGTCGGAAATGATTCCTTCACTGCGTTTTAATCTTCTGACTGAAGCTATACTCTGCGAAAAGGTATAAAAACAGACAATTTTCTTAAATAATCTGAGTTTTCCAAACATCATAATTAAGCCAAAATAGCATTAATTTTGATTCGGAAAGCTTTTCTGTGCTAGTTTTTATTGTACTAACAAATCTGCGTACTGCGTTTGTTGGTGCTATTGTCAGTTTTTGACTAAAATCATAAGAACCTGCAAAAAGGTATAAAAACGGACCATTTTTCCGAAAAATCATAGTTTAAAAAAACCCATAACTAAGCCAAACAATCATTAATTTTAATTCGGAAGCATTAATTTTGATTCGGAAAGCTTTTCTGTGCTAGTTTTTATTGTACTAACAAATCTGCATACTGCGTTTGTTGGTGCTATTGTCAGTTTTTGACTAAAATCATAAGAACCTGCAAAAAGGTATAAAAACGGACCATTTTTCCGAAAAATCATAGTTTAAAAAAACCCATAACTAAGCCAAACAATCATTAATTTTAATTCGGAAAGCTGTTCTATGCTGCAAAGCTGCATACTCAGTTTTCAAATTTAAAAAATTCAATTTTTTGTCAAATTTTGGCAATTTTAATGATGTAACCCCTTATAAAATTTTCAATTTTCGGAAAAATGTCAAAAATTTATTTTTCGACCGGACATGTCTAGAACGACTGGGCTGTTAATGCTGATCAAGAATATATATGGTTTATAGGGTCGGAAATGATTCCTTCACTGCGTTTTAATCTTCTGACTGAAGCTATACTCTGCGAAAAGGTATAAAAACAGACAATTTTCTTAAATAATCTGAGTTTTCCAAACATCATAATTAAGCCAAAATAGCATTAATTTTGATTCGGAAAGCTTTTCTGTGCTAGTTTTTATTGTACTAACAAATCTGCGTACTGCGTTTGTTGGTGCTATTGTCAGTTTTTGACTAAAATCATAAGAACCTGCAAAAAGGTATAAAAACGGACCATTTTTCCGAAAAATCATAGTTTAAAAAAACTCATAACTAAGCCAAACAATCATTAATTTTAATTCGGAAGCCTGTTCTATGCTAGTTTTTAGTAGATTAACAAAACTGCATACTCAGTTTTCAAATTTAAAAAATTCAATTTTTTGTCAAATTTTGGCAATTTTAATGATGTAACCCCTTATAAAATTTTCAATTTTCGGAAAAATGTCAAAAATTTATTTTTCGACCGGACATGTCTAGAACGACTGGGCTGTTAATGCTGATCAAGAATATATATGGTTTATAGGGTCGGAAATGATTCCTTCACTGCGTTTTAATCTTCTGACTGAAGCTATACTCTGCGAAAAGGTATAAAAACAGACAATTTTCTTAAATAATCTGAGTTTTCCAAACATCATAATTAAGCCAAAATAGCATTAATTCTGATTCGGAAAGCTTTTCTGTGCTAGTTTTTATTGTACTAACAAATCTGCATACTGCGTTTGTTGGTGCTATTGTCAGTTTTTGACTAAAATCATAAGAACCTGCAAAAAGGTATAAAAACGGACCATTTTACCGAAAAATCATAGTTTAAAAAAACCCATAACTAAGCCAAACAATCATTAATTTAATTCGGAAGCATTAATTTGATTCGGAAAGCTTTTCTGTGCTAGTTTTATTGTACTAACAATCTGCATACTGCGTTTGTTGGTGCTATTGTCAGTTTTTGACTAAATCATAAGAACCTGCAAAAAGGTATAAAACGGACCATTTTTCCGAAAAATCATAGTTTAAAAAAACCCATAACTAAGCCAAACAATCATTAATTTAATTCGGAAAGCTGTTCTATGCTAGTTTTTAGTAGATTAACAAAGCTGCATACTCAGTTTTCAAATTTAAAAAATTCAATTTTTGTCAAATTTGGCAATTTTAATGATGTAACCCTTATAAAATTTTCAATTTTCGGAAAAATGTCAAAAATTTATTTTTCGACCGGACATGTCTAGAACGACTGGGCTGTTAATGCTGATCAAGAATATATATGGTTTATAGGGTCGGAAATGATTCCTTCACTGCGTTTTAATCTTCTGACTGAAGCTATACTCTGCGAAAAGGTATAAAAACAGACAATTTTCTTAAATAATCTGAGTTTTCCAAACATCATAATTAAGCCAAAATAGCATTAATTTTGATTCGGAAAGCTTTTCTGTGCTAGTTTTTATTGTACTAACAAATCTGCGTACTGCGTTTGTTGGTGCTATTGTCAGTTTTTGACTAAAATCATAAGAACCTGCAAAAAGGTATAAAAACGGACCATTTTTCCGAAAAATCATAGTTTAAAAAAACTCATAACTAAGCCAAACAATCATTAATTTTAATTCGGAAGCCTGTTCTATGCTAGTTTTTAGTAGATTAACAAAACTGCATACTCAGTTTTCAAATTTAAAAAATTCAATTTTTTGTCAAATTTTGGCAATTTTAATGATGTAACCCTTATAAAATTTTCAATTTTCGGAAAAATGTCAAAAATTTATTTTTCGACCGGACATGTCTAGAACGACTGGGCTGTTAATGCTGATCAAGAATATATATGGTTTATAGGGTCGGAAATGATTCCTTCACTGCGTTTTAATCTTCTGACTGAAGCTATACTCTGCGAAAAGGTATAAAAACAGACAATTTTCTTAAATAATCTGAGTTTTCCAAACATCATAATTAAGCCAAAATAGCATTAATTTTGATTCGGAAAGCTTTTCTGTGCTAGTTTTTATTGTACTAACAAATCTGCGTACTGCG